CCGGATGTATATGCACCTTCTTTCGAAATGGCGCCATCGTGGCATGGCGCCAGTATATTCTCAGTCGCATCACGCCCGCAAGCCTGCAGTGAGGTTGCATTTTTGCATGATAGCGAGCGCACACAGCTCATTTATTCCAACGACAAGTGCTGATATCACTGCATTCAGGCGTCATGTTACCTGTGCGTTCGTTTTTGCCAACTTCATTTACGCTGCATTGATCTCAAGCGTCAAGCATCGTTCATTGTCGAAGCTACCGGAACGTGTAGGCTAGTGATGCACATACCAGAGGAGAGAAGGGATACACCACACAATAGCTCACGGAGACGCGGGAGTCGGGTCTCAAGCTCCGATACAAAACTCCTACAGTGGCAAAACCCTCAGACTGGATGAAGGTGTCAGGAGAGCACCAGGGGGATGACAACCCCTCAGAAAAATGGCTTTTGTGTCGCTTTTTGTCAGGCATCCAGCCAATCAGCGACCTTTAACCTCGCGACATACATTCCCGAACCACGTGGTTCCCGTTCGACGAATCAAATACGACATTGTGGCTTGGAACCCAAAATACGCCAATCAGCACGAACGAGATCGCAGAAATCGAGCGTGCTTGGGCTTGCGGAGGCCAACCGAAAAAACAATTGACGGCGTGCCTGGCATTTGTCGCAAGCTTTCGAAGCGTTCAATTCGCGCGCGAATCCGCACAGAACTCCATGAGCTATGCTCGGAGAGGATGGTACGGCGTTGTGATTGGCTTACTGGAAATCATTTTGACCAGTAAGATATCATATCCGGATAAAACGAGTTCGAATTTGAATTGCCACCAACTCGACATCCTGCTTCAACTGCAGGCTTGCTGAACTGCCGCAATGGGGAAGAAGGCTATTGTGTGCTTAAGCGCCGGGCGCAAACGCGCAGCGAGCCGCGATCTGATGATGGCGACGGACTCACGCACGACCTTTGCGTTGGCCGACACACTTGTTGCTTAAAAAGGTCAAACACTCGACAACTGGTACGTTAAATTAGTTTGCCCTTGATTAGTCATCATGGGTACAGTGGTACACCTCCTCTGGGTCCGAAAAGCACTTTTTTCCCTCCGGCGGGTTGTCATCCCCCTGGGAGAGCACCTCCAGAGGCTCGTCAGCCGACACGAAGATGACACACCTTCGTCACTTTTCGTTCGAGTGGTTTTGTCCAGCCCCTTACATTGGCTGTTTTCCCACTGAGGTTAGGGTTTTTTTCCCTCCACTCGGAGGTTTTGCCCACCTCTCTCGTAGTTTGTATGTCCCATAATGTTCTGAATACATTCCGGGCCATTGGTCGTGGGGACCTCACGGTCCCTCACTTCTGTTCTGGTTCCGTTCTGGCTAGCTTCCCGCTTGCCCGTTTGCCTCCTCTTCTTCCTCTTCCTCTTCTTAGCTTCGTTCCTCTGCTTTGTGCTTCGCTGCCCCAAGTGCCAGCTTGACAGAAGGAAAGGGTGGAAACAGCCAAAGATCCAGAACCAACGAAGAGTCGGCAATCCCAAAGTCTGCAGTTCAAGTACCGAATTGACACTTCTAGTCGAGTCAGAGAACTCACTTTGCCTCAGTACCACGACTCGAACCCTCTCAATGCCGGGCCAACGGGTCAACTACCTCAACACAACGGCGGACGAGGAATACTGCGAGTGCGGCGCCGTCATCTTCCCAGCAACGATCCACTCGTGCCCTCCGTACCCATCCAACGACTATCAACTCGTCATCGAGTGCAGCAAAAACTTGGAGCGCGTGCTTCGAGAGTTTCACGACGCAAGCGGATCTAGTCTGGCTGGCCTGCTGAGGTCGGTACGGGATAACTTGCATCCGAAGCAGGTTGAGGCTTTCGAGTACGTCATCGCGATGCGCAATAAGTTGGTCCACGACAAAGACGCGAGAGCGTTGCCCAACCGTCGGCATTTTCTTGACCAGTATGAGTTTGCCCGCTGGGTTGATAACTATTAGCGTAAGTGAAATGCAATGAAAGCCACAATATCCTACGTATTTACGGTAAAATATATCGGGAGACTTGCGGCTCGGCCACATGAGGCGACGCGCTCCAACTGCGGGGTTCCACGCATAGCGGTAGCCAAGGTGCTGGGTGTACTGGGATGTACGAGAGTAGTGGACGCAGCAGTAGGCTGCGTACTGTCTGGATAGCGTTGTGTGTTGCGAGCTCCGTGGGACGCTGTGCTGCGAGGGGTGCGGGCTCATCCAGGTTGCGCTGAAGACTGCGCGAATTTCTCCGAAAAAGTTCAGCGCCGAAAACAAGACACCTGGGTCAGCACACGACAATTTCCCACCGTCATGTGCACATACCCGTCGCCCATCGCGCGCGCCATGAGAAGGGTCCTGAACCACGTTGGGCATTTCTGCATGCATGTACACGGCATCTCATCCCGCGCGGCTGGTCCTTATGTCGAGTCATCCGAGGCTGCGACTGGACACGGACGATGATGACATTGCACTCATGGTATGTACGTTGTGACAGCTTTGCACCCAAATATCTTCCACGTGTCGTGTCGGCCTCGCCATCAATCCGGCAATGTGTCCATCGCTCGTAGCAATGGGTTTTCCACAAAACACACATGCGTGGTTTATTCGACCAACGCCGACAACTTGTCTGACCTGGCGCCATCCCGTCCTTCGCGAAGCATCGCCATTGCATTCGTCGTCGCATGGGCATCGAGAGAAGAAGAGATCTACGCCGAACGAGCCCGACGCAGCTAACGTTACTATATCGATCAAGTAGGCTCGTTGTTTGCACTGTTTGAGCCCCGTGAAATGATCGCTCTGTCACGTGGCGTGCCGTCGTATTGCCGATCAGTAGTTTGCGCTGATGGACAAGGCATCTTCTATCGCATTCGGCATGGCTGTGGTGGCCCATACCGACGCCGTCGTTGCGCCTCGCACTACGAGTAGCAGCAACGTCGCTACGTCATCCGTCAGCTTCATTTTCTTTGGAGTGGACGGCCAGATGTGGTCCTTTGACATGGATCAACTGCGGCCAAGGTTGCTCAGTTGGAAATGCTACGGTGCAATCAATTTCGACACGGTGCCATAGACACGGAGACAACGTTGCATGCTTTCGACGAGCGCGTGCAGACCCAAGGGCAACTAGCTTCAACCCTATAATGCTGGACGAACTCCATCGGGTGTGAAACCAAGCCGCGTATTTTTCACACGCTTGTCCCAGCATCGTATACACACACCTGGAAAAGGCAATTAGGAGAAACCAGATTGCAGCTCATCGATCGGCAACGGGACACGACCATTGTTTTCGCTGGCTCTGGTGCATTTCGTAATTTGCGCCGACATGCGTACGAAGACGAAGTCGGGCCGCATGAAGAAGGTCGCGTCGCGCAAGAAGATCATGCTCTTCCACCCGGACGACATCACAACCAAGGACACGTACGCCGGCGTCGACCTCGAGCACCTCTACGACCTCACCATGTCGTCCCGCGTTGCCGTGGTCGCCCCGGCACCGCACCGCGTGAGCCACTGCGCGACCGACGTCACGGACGACGAGAGCAGCAGCTACCACGTCCTCTCCATCTGCCAGGATGACTTTGACATGCTCGAGGTCGAAGACTGCCCGATCCTCGAGGACGAGCTCTTCTCGTCGCGGCGCAACACCCGCCTCCGTCGCCGCAGCGTCCTCCCGAATTTCTTGCAGCGTATCTTCTCGCGTACGTTGTGGTAGTAGACCGCTGGCCTTTCGTTGGTAAAAGGAAGCGACGTTCGTATTTAAGTTAATTTATAGAGCCATGATCTGCGCAAAATGCAAATACGATGCACGCACCTCAGGCCTTCGCACGCAGCAGCTTGAGCCAAAGCCGAGTGAAATGCAGCTTCCATTTGTCGTGGAGCTTGGACGGCTCTTGCAGCACAGGGCAGTCGTCGACAAAGTCGACGTCGTCCGTGAAGTTGCTGCTCCCGCGCCGACGCGGCTTGTCGTGCAAGCTCGCGCGCGTCGTGTGCGTCTCGATCGAATGGATCTTGCCAATGGTGAGCGACGCCGACCGGGGTCGATACGCAGGGTTGTACTCCATGTCGTCCGGGTGGAACAGCACGATGCCTTGCTTGCTGCTGGACGCGACCATGACACTTGGTCGGAAATTGAACTCTGAGGAATCGGACAGGTCGTGGAAGGGAGAGAAGCGCACATGGTGGTGGTGACAGATTGTACTGATTCCAAGCCAGCAAAGCGTCGCGTACCACGACCCAGACTGACCACAACCTCTATCTTTCCGTCGACGCGACAACCCAGAGGGAATCGCACCCTAATTCCAGCCATGGTTCGTGCGTGCTGACGTCAGTCGAACGGCTGCAATGAGAGCGTGATACACAACGAAGTAGCCAACCCTCCTCGGTCTTTGAGTAGCACCGTGTGCGCACTTTTGCTTGTATGACTACATCGGGCGGCGCCTGTTTCGGCCACAAGTGTCGTGGTGGTGTACGCACTAGAAGGCACCGCAGCTGTCCACCCGCCACTTGGTAAATGGCTGGGCGGCTACTCATAATTCGTATCGAAATCCCTCCATACAACAATAGGCGAGATCGCCACTTCTACTCGATTCTCAAGTCCCACTTGGCTATAACGCTTGCACGCATGTCCCTTACGTACAGCTCTGTGGCATGGGTCCTGTGATTTCGAGCGAACAAGACTCCAGCAGGCTCCTAGCACCAAGGGTCCATACACTGAGCTTCGTTGCCCTTGCCAGCACAGCAGAAAAGCGCGCGAACAATATTTTTATATTTGCGATCCATTTTAAAATAAGAACACGACGTATACATTATTAATCTGATTACCATACAAAGAACAAGCTGTTATGTAACGATTTCAAATAAAATACTAGGAGAATACGAGCAGTTTACAAAAAACAAGCTGTTATGCATGTGTTTAAACATTTATTGCTACAGGTAAACCTCTTATATTAAATTCTTCGATGCATATTGAATATGAGAGAGATTCGAAGCGAGAGGTTTGGAGCCGGCCAATCGCCACTGGTTGGTGAAGAGAGCAGTCGGTTTTTTGCTTGGGACCAACACGAGCGCGATGGATGATGAGTACGACCACGACGCCGCCATGGACGACATGGACGATGTGAACGAGGAGCAGGAAGAGATGGAGAACTTCGACGAGATGGAAGATGGCGCCGAGCACGAGAACGGCGTCGCGCTCCTCGACGAGTCGGAGAAGCAGCCCAACGCCCACCGCATCACGACGCGCTACATGACCAAGTACGAGCGCGCCCGCGTCCTTGGCACGCGCGCGCTACAGATCAGCATGAACGCGCCGGTCATGGTCGACATTGAAGGCGAGACGGACCCGCTCAAGATTGCCATGAAGGAGCTCAGCCAGCGCAAGATCCCGATCATCATCCGCCGGTACCTTCCCGATGGCTCGTACGAGGACTGGTCCATCGACGAACTCATTATTGAATAATAAACTTACACGCTTTGCACTCTCGACGCGATCTGCTCCTTCCGCATGCCATGGCCACCATGCAGCGCCAGCGATCGCGCCGATACACTAGCGATCTCATTGCGGGCACGACGACGCAAGCAGCATGACAGTCAAGCCATTGGCATTAAGGCAGTATATATCGAGGTAACACTATTCAAGGCGTCTGGTGTGTACAAGGTGCGTCCTCGCTTAGTGCACGGTGCTCTGGAAGCCGCACGTGGTGCCGTAGTAGCCCGGAAAGCACTGGCAGTCGCCCGTGACGTAGTCGCACGTCCCGCGGCCGCCGCAGTCGCGGCCTTCGTTGGCGCCGTACCCAAGGAGCACATCGGACGCGCTCGGGCACTCCTTGAGCGAGCAGTCGGGGCCGCGATAGCCTTGGTCGCACACGCAGCCGTAGGACTTGGTTGCGTCCCACGCCAACGTGTACGTCCCGGGCGCCTGCGCGCTGGACGCGAGAATGCTCTTGAGCGAGAGACACACGCCGTGGTGGTTGCACTCGTTCGGGCAGCTCATGCGCTCGCACGCCTTGCCTTCGTACCCGGGAAAGCACTGGCAAATGCCCGACCCGAAGTCGCAGAGGCCGCGGTTCGAGCACTCGACGAGGGCGTGCCCGACGTTGTCGGCGGTCGGGACGTCGACGAAGGCGACGCCACGCGAGCACGTCCGGCGCGAGCAGTCGGCGCCTGTAAACATGGGCTGGAACTGGTCGGTCGATTCGTCGTTACGGAGGTAGCACGTGCACTTGTCGTTGGCGCCGCACGTACCCTGCGCGTTGCAGCCGTTGGGGCAGTAGGCTTCGATCGCAGGCAGCAGCGCCGCCAGCGCGCAGATGAGGACCCACTTCATGCGTGCCGGGCTGGGTTTTCGCAAGTGACCGTTGCTGAGGAACGTAGAGCGTCGGTTTGCCGGGTCGCGCCTCCTCAAGATCCATAAATACCTCTCAAAATGCATACATCGAAGGTCTTCCTCGGGGTTGGCTGCTGCTGCTACCTGTAGAAACCGATACCATCGATCGAAGAATTGCTCGAGCTCTATGTTTGGGCAACGCCCGCCGGTGGTCCAGTGCACCACGAGGTGTTCGCAAGCTGGAGAAACCAACGCCATTCCACTCAACATCAAAATATGATGTTCAGACCTCGTTCGGCAAGGGCGATTTGAGACGTCATGAATATCAAAAATGTAGTATTGAGATTCAGATTTGACCTTGTGCTTGTGACGAGGGCGACGCCCGAAGATCGCGGTTCGCGTCGATGATTGGCCGTGGCACCCGAGGGCTAAAAATAGATTGCCATGGAGCCGCGGCCGCGCTCGGAGCATGGACCGTCGCCAGCGTACGTCCTGTCAACGCGCTCCTGGCGCCGACGCGCTTGGTGTAGGGCGAGTCCGAAGCTTTCGTCGCGTGGGCGCCCGGCGACGACGCCGGTAGCTACTACGCGTCGTCGACGTTGCCACGCTCACGGCGACGTTGTAGAAGCTGCGCGTTCACAAGATCTTGTCGCTGCCCCAAAAAGCGACCACACCGCCGCCCGAGACGGCGCCCAGCGACGCGCCGCAAGTGTTCTTTATGACCAACCTACCCGCCTCGCCGCCCAAGCCTGCCGTACGTGAGCTGTTCCTGCGACCCATTGCCATATATCCGACTCCAGGACGCGTCCGAGAGCTGCGACGACGGCGAGGATGCAAGTCCTTCGCCGTCAATGAACATGGCCGGCGTCAATGCAATCGAAATGCTATCGGCGATCGCGGCGAGCAAGCCATCGGCGCGCTCCGAGCTCGACCGCGCCGAGCCCAGCTGTACATCTGCGGCCGACTCGGACGACGCAAGTAGTATCGATGGCGACGCCATGCCGGAAGTTGATAATGAAAACGACTCGGAAGAGCGCGCAGGTGCACCCAACCAAAACGAGGGCCACGAGGAGCCCGAGGCCGACACCGACGAGAACCCAGAGGCCACGCCACCGGCTGCCCCGTTGGCGACGCCCGAGGTCGACGGCGGTGGCTACTACGCTCAGTGGCGCCAGCAAATGGTAGCCTTGCCAACGACACCACATTCTGATGCATCGTGCAGGCGAGCGCCGAGGCGGCGCGGGCAGCGCTCGAGGCCGACTTGCGACAGTACGTCGACTCGCTGCACGCCAAAGCCGACGACACGGGTGTGAACAGCGATGTCTAACGAGGGGATACGAGCCAGGCAATAGGCGAGACGATCGTGGCGTTTCCCGACAACTACAACGACGTGGTGGCCCTCATGACGAGCAAAGACGTGCGACGCCATCCTATTTTTGATGCGATAAGAACGTATTTCTTGGCGCAGGTGCAAGATACGTCGGCCACACCGTGGACACGGGCGCTGCTGCACGACGGCCTCGCGCGCACCCACGCTTTTGTTGGACCTTTGCAGGATTTCGAGCTGGTATTGACGACGCGGGGAGTAGGGAAGCATCCCGGGCGAAGACGCGCCGTCCGAGCTCAACATGAAGATCGCCAAGGGCATTGCTCTCATTCGGAAAAACGACCTCATCCTCGAAGGTCTCAACGAGGTGTGTCGTCCACCGATGCCGTAGGACAGAATGGAACCTGCGGCGGTAGAAGCTGCACGGCTCGTGGAGCGCCAAGCCGTTCCTGTCGCAACCGGCTTCAGCGTACCGCGAATGGCCTCACATGACGCTCATGCTTGTCGATAGGAAGCGCACCAATGTCGCCCAGCGGATCAAAGACAAGGTCGAAGCCGCCAAGAGCTACGACGCCACCGACTTCGTCGCCCGCAACAAGGAAATGAAGCTCGCGGGCAAGCACCTGACGCGAAACGAAGAGGCGCGTGTGGCGCAGCTCCTTGTCGACGACGCCGCCCCCACCGATGTACGCCATAGGAATACGCTCGAAAGTTGCAAAATCGCGTAGCAGCCCGAGCCGCTACGCCCGGCGTTTGCCGCACCAGACGAAGCGCGCTTGGCCGCTCTCGACGCGACGTTAGAGGTAGACCTCGTGCTGCCAGGAAGCAGGAATGTAGCACCGTACAACGGCTTTAGACGATGCTGGAGACGCGCAAGGCCGACCCGAACGCAGTTTTGCACGGCGCCGTCGTGATTCCGTCGGCGTGGGCGGGCGGCGACGAGCGCTACAAGAAGGACCGACTCGCCACCATTGACGCGACCCTTCAGGCATTCCGGTACGTAGCGATCTCACGAAGTGTGAAGCAAGCATGGAAGGTAGCGACGAAGAGAATGGGGTCGCGCTGGACGACGACTGCATCTCGTTTCGCAGTGGTAGCAGTCGGCAAACGAGCATCTACTCGTTGGCAAGCACGAGGTAGGGTTCTACTCAAAGCCAAGATTCTTCAACGGTGCGTAGCGCATCGAGCCGCACGGTCACCAAGCGGCAGCTCCACGACATCACCCAAAGCGCCAAAGACGAAGTCACCGAGAAGGCACCGGCAGCAGCGATCCAGCAGGTGCGTCGGCCTCGCTGCAAGCGACTTGTTGATTGTTGAGGCATAGCTGCTTTCATCGCTCTCGGGCATCACGATCGAAATCCGCGACGATGACGACGACGACGAGGCGACGGCGCCTGACGAGCTACCGCCACATGGTGGCACGGCACCGGTGCAACCGCACAAGCCCATGCACGAGATCCGACCTTCTCTCATCGGACCAAGGAAAAGTCGCGTGGACGTCGGACCCACGGTGTCCTCGGTGGCCAAGGCGTCGTCCGCCTTCGCGCACTTGTTTACGCTTCCGTTCGAAGCCCAAGGCCACCGCAAAGTTGTGACGAGCATGCATCACCGGTAGCACCTGTCCTTAGTAGAGCTATTTAATAACACGCCTGTCAACGAGACTTGTTTTTGGCAGCGCAAAAAGCGCGGGAGACGAGGGTTAGGGTCAAGGTGATGTACGACAGCTTTATGTCGTCACGTCTCGATGCACATGAAAGGGGGTGCAACAAAAAACGAAGAGCGGGAAAGGGAGGGACGACGAGGTAGTACTCAGCAAGGACGGGGAACCTGGCACCTCGGTCAAATGGAGAACGATCGTTGCCGACCGTACTCCTAGAAGAGACCGAGCAGCAGCACGCCGTTTGCAGTCGAGAGGACTATTGAACGCGTGCGGCGAGTGCACGATGGCACGATTCATCATAGCGGTGGTGAACTGCTACGATGAATCCTGAATGTTGAGCAAAGAACCTCCGTCGTCGCAGACCCAGGTACGCATCATCCACACAGAGGTCGGCAATGCAACACCACATATACCACGAAAACTAACAATGTAGACTGTAGAAAATACGTCGCGCTACGCCTGGATGTGTGGGAGTTGGACTTGGTCGCTGGGAGTGTACTGCGAAGCGATCCATCCAGAATAGTATATCAAAAGTACAACAGGTGCCTTATTCGACTTAGAGCGCGACGCGGGCGCGGGCAATCGCGGCCAGTTGGGCCCAGTCGGTGCGCTGAATCATGGCGTAGAAGATGAAAAAGCACGTGCCGCAGCCGACAGTAAAGCCGAGCCAGACGCCGCCAAGGTTGTAGTCCCAGAGAAACCCCGCAACGTACGCCAGCGGCAGACCAATGCCATAGTACGAGCAAATGTTGATCACTAGGCAGAGATATTTTGTGAGACATGTTTGTATCAAGAATGTATCAACGACGCACCCGCCGCGATCTTCTGCCGGCCTTGGCCACGGAAGATGCCTTCGCAGATGCCGTTGAGGCCGTCAAAGACCTGCAGCGGCACCATGAAAAAGATGGACGCGGCGACGCTCTGGACGGTGAGCTCGTCACTGATGAAGAGGAGGGGCAGCTGGTGTCGGAAGAGCACGTAGAGCGACCCCATGAGCACGGCCGAGCCAAAGCCGCCGTACAAAGCGAGGCGCGCGATGAGCTGGGCACGGCGCGGTTGGTTGGCGCCGAGCGAATTGCCAATGCCAACGTTCGCCGCGATCGCAATCCCGAGGAAGATCATAAAGCTGGCCGTGAGGAGGTTCCCGAGCACCGAGTTGATGCTCACGGCTTCAATGCTGTTGGGGAGGAGGCCTGCGAGAAACGCGAGACAGCAAAATGCCCACCACGACACGGCGAGCATGACCATTGACGGAAAGCCGAGCGAGAGGAAGAGCGAGACGTGGTCGGTCGCCTCTTTCCACTGGAACCCAGGCCACCACAAGGACGTGTTGTCTTGGTTCCAGTATAGGTACGGGAGGATGCTCAGTGGCAGCGCAATGTTGCCGACGACACGCCCCATCGCCGCGCCGAGGTACCCGTACGACGTGTAGTACGTCATGTAGTAGCCGGTCGCAATGTTGACGGCGACGCCAAGAAACGCAATGAACGTCATCGGAAGCACAATGTTCTGGGCCTGCATGAGCTTCTTGAGGAGCTCGTAGACGAAGAGGAAGGGCACGCCAAGCATCGTGATGCGGGAAAAGTCGCCCGCGAGCACCGCGACTTCCGGGTTTTGGCCAAAACCAATCAGGATCGAGTCGGCGTGGAGGTTCATGAGCCAGATCGGCAAGAGCGAGAGGCCGAGGACGATGAGACCGCTCTGAAGGTAGATGCCAAGCTTCTCAAGCTTGCCTAATGGAAGCCGTTGGAGAATGGCTACGACGAGTCAATGCACGTACCGGCGCCATACGCCTGCGAGCAGAGCGTGTCCATGGCCGACGCGAGGCCAAAACCGATCGCAAGCGCCGTGATGTTGGTCACCGTGGCCGAGAGGTACGCAGCATTGATGTACAGATTCGTATCACTCGAGTCCATGTGGCCGACGAGCGAGACGCAGATCGTGCCTGGCAGCGTCTCGAGCAAGTAGGCGAAAAACTAGATCTGAGTGGTGGGCCAACCGAAGCGATAGAGCAGACGTACGACAGGGTACGCGAGGTGAAACATCTTGGACGCTTCGTGGCGGGCGCACGGCGTGACCTCGGTCGTCACCTCGACGTCGAGCGCATACTCGTCCTTGGACTTGAGCGGCTTGGCTTCGTCCGACGCCATGAATTGTGCAATGCCAGCACCATCGGATTGGCTCGACGACACCAGATGGCGCGGGTTTCGACCAATCACAGCTCGCGTATCCAAGGGCAAAGTGCCCTTTTTAAATGCAAGATTCAATTCACCATACCAAAAGCAAGAGAAGCGAGGAGAGATAAATTAAAGACGGTCAACGCGACTTCAAGCTCCAGCGCGATCTTGGACGCCATTGAATGGCCAGCGCGCGACGCCTGGACCGATGATTCCGAGCCTCCGAGAGTGTTGCCACAGTACTACGGTGACGCAACATCAAGGCAAGGTCTAATAGCACCAGTGGCAAGTGCGATCTTTTGCGCGAACATCCGTTTTTGCTCGTGTTCGAATACCGGTAGCCGGCTTCGGCAGGAAGACCACTTTAGCTGTGGGTGGCTGGGATAGAACCGGTAGGATAGAGGAAGACGACCACCCAAATAAGCTTGGACCACGGAGATGGGCACGCACGACGACGACGAACGACGGGGGTGTCATCATTTCCGGCCACTGGACAAAAAAGTATCTTTGGGACTCGACGCCATGACAGTGACGTCAAGGTCGACGCGTCTAGCATTGTTCCCGTGTCGCTTGTAGTACACACAAGCGAGCGGTGTGCTAACGAGTGCGCTAAGATCTCATTGCACCTACCTCGTCAAGGAACTTGCTTGATGAGGTGTCTATTCTTCCGGCTGCGCGAGGTTACCGGTAATCGCGCAGCCGGATGAATATACGTTAGCACTGGTGCGATCTAGAATGCCTATTCGGATGAGTATTGTCCTCGACGTTCACTAGCAAACACTTCGATATTTGCTGCGTGGACAGAGTGCAAAGCATGGAGAACATTGTCACTGCGAGACAACCTGGCGGACTTCGGGGTAAGGTACAGGAGCGAACTCACACACGGTGCTATTCCATCATTGGTCAAAACTAAGTCCGACACGGCTGCGGATTGGCTGGAAAATGAAGGTACGTTTTGCTGTCACACGTACACGTACATTCAAAGTATACTGACAACAAGTAAAACAGTCCGTTCGAACGTAACGTACGACCCGTGGGAACGGTCTTTGGCTGAATCGCCGACAGAATCCCTTTTCGCGAACATGGCCGAGATGACCAAGGCGCGCGAGGTCAAGGTCGTGCTCCTCGGCGATACGGGCGTCGGCAAGTCGTCGCTCGTCCTCCGCTTCGTGACCAACAACTTCCGCCCGTACTCGGAGTCGACCATCGGCGCGAGCTTCATGTCCAAGATGCTGCTCGTCGGCGACCAAGCCATCAAGTATCAGATCTGGGATACCGCCGGGCAGGAAAAGTACCATTCGCTTGCGCCCATGTACTACCGCGGCGCCGCGGCCGCGATCGTCGTCTACGACATTACGCGCAAGCAGTCGCTCCAGACGCTCAAGAACTGGGTCAAGGAGTTGAAGCAGCTCGGCCCGGACAACATTGTGATTGCGATCGCAGGCAACAAGTCGGACCTCAAGGACAAGCGGGTACGCGTCGCCGCCGACCCGACCTTCTTTCCTGATGCCAATGCCATAGGAAGTGAGCTCGGAGACGGCCAAGGCGTACGCCGACGAGATTGGCGCCGTCTTTGTCGAGACGAGTGCGAAGGAAGATACGAACGTCTCGGACCTCTTCAAGACGATCAGCCAGCAGCTGCCGTCGCCCGCGGGCGACAACAACGCGCTCCCAGAGATCGTCGACCCGTACGGTGGCGGCAAGAAGAAGGGCGGATGCTGCTAATTCGCTTCTTCATCTTTTGTGTGACTAATATTACCCAACGACAAACCTCAACTAGCTAAGCCTGCGCAAGCAGTGCATGGTACGCAGCGACGTCGGCTTCCGGCAGGCGCGCGCGGTGTCTGGCCATCTCGTACAGCCGCGTGAGCCACACCTTGGAGCGCGTGTACGTCAGCGCTTCGTGGAAGACCGCGACGTACGTCTCGGGCCGCGTGCGCACCTGCGGGAGGAGGCGGATGACCACCTTGTAGCGCTTGCAGCGCATCATTAGCACGAGTGCTTCGTCGAGTAGCGGCACCGGAATCTCGGCCGTCGGGAGCACGTCCGCCAGCGCCTTCATGCTCGCATGGCGGCCGACGCGGACGAGGAGGCGCACGTACTGCGTCTCGACGCGGGCGTCGACGGCCGACTTGTCGACCGCCATGGCAAACACAGCTTGGATGCGGTCACTGTCCTCAATCTGCCCGAGCGCTGAGAGCGCAGCCGAGACCAGCATCGGGTCCCAAGCGTGCGAGGCCGTTAGGATCGCGAGGAGCGTGTCGCCCGGTGCGCGGCCAAAGGACGCAATCGAGACCAAGTGCGTGCTGGCAATGCTGCTGTCGCTCGACCACGACGACGAGGACGTCACGGCGTTGACGGCGTCGACCATCGATTGCCGTGTCGCGTCGTCGGCGTCATCCAGCGCTTTGCAGCTCTGCGCGACGAGGCTCAGCGTCGTCTTGTTGGGGACCACGCCAGTTGACGCGAGCGCGTGGAAGAGGCGCAAGACGAGCGCGTCGTCGTTGGCGCGGCGGGCGGCGGTGAGCACGGGCACGGCCAAGTGCGATGGTACCTCCTCTTTATGGTGTTGCAGGGTCGTCTCGAGGAGCGACGCCGTTGACGCCCAGAGCGCCGTCGCGTCCTCCGGGAGCGCGTCGAGTACCGCGTAGAGCATCGTGTACGGGACCCTACCCTCAATCACATTAGCACCGAACCCTAGGAGCACCATGGAACGTACGGAAAAGGCGACAGCTGATGGAGCACGGTGATCGCCGAGGCCAAGTCGTCGCGGTCCATGGCCGTGTAGAAGACATCGTAGAGCGTCGGCAGCGTCTTCTCGTCGGTGGCGTGCGTGGTCGCCAAGGTCGCGGTCAGAGGCAGCACGTTCTCGAGCGCATGGCCCAAGTGCACGTGCCCCGCAATTTGCGCCTGGACAAGTCTAGAGCATAATAGTTGAAGGATGTATCGACGACGGGGCGATCGTACGACGCGTCGGACGGCAGCTGGAGCTTGGGGATGTTGTGCAGGAGCCGCTCGAGGTGCGCGTTGTGGTGGTTGAAGAGGCACGCTTGCAAGAGCAGTCGCACCGACGTCGGCGTCGGCAGAATACCTTGCGCCAGCATGCGCGAGAAGAACTAGACGCACGCAAAGTCGTCTGCGGTGGAGATGGGACAGAGCACGTACGTCGAAGACGCGGTCGATCGGGTAGAGGCTGCCTAGCGCACGCAGGACGTTGTCGCAGCCTTTGGCCGTCCATGACGACGGCGCCGCGTCGATTGCGCGCAAGAGCTCTTCGCAGTCGTCGTGGCGCTCGAGGCGCGCGCAGGCGTACAGCACGCGCGCTTGCAGGTGCATGTCTGCGTGTACCTGCTGACGGACGATCGCGATGGCGTCGTCCACCTGAAGCGCCTGAGCGACGAGCAAGGAAAGAGGAGCGATGACTACCTGGTCGAGGTTGCAGTACGCGCGGACCGCAATGTCGCGAAAGGTGTCGGTGACCTTGTCGGCGCGCTGGCGGCATTGCGTCTCGTAGAGGCTAGCGGCGGCGGCGTCGTCGTGGCCGAGGAGCGCCGCGGCAGTGGCTTCAAACATGTCCTAGCACACTGCGATAAGACGACGTATGGGCGAGGACAACGATGTGTACGAGTGAGAGCTCGTGCGGGAAGCGATCTTCAAGGGCCATCCACACGTCCTGTGTCAGCGCGGGGCGGCCCGCCGCCATCGAGTCGTACCACACGCGGACGTAGTCGCTCACGGGGGCGGGCATCGGCGCGCGCTGGATCGCGCTCCACGCAGCTTCAACGTGCTCGGCCGACGACGCCAAGAGGCGCACGGACGCGCGGACCGTCCGCGGGAGGATGCATCGGCGCGCGGCTGACAGCATGTCCTAAATTCAAAAATGCAAATTGAGGCAAATCGGACTTTTTAAACGTGGCATGTGCCGCTTTTAAGAACCGGTCGGTTGCTTGTGCTTTACGGCGCCAACCTGCTACTCGGATAGAGACGTCCATCTTAGACCGTACCAAGCGCTACTGCCGACGCCGGGCTCACGTTGCCCACCGGCATATGGGTCCACGAGCTGGGTCCACGGGTCGGTCGGTGGCTGGCCTGTCTACAAGTGGGGTGATTTTAGTCGATGAAATTGGGAGCAGAGTGTTGGTCGTCGAACAAGACCACCAAGATCCAAGCGCATTTTGGCCTGTCCCATGGGCGCCGGCGACGTGCTCTCGCACCTGCTGCCGCTCGTCGTGGAGTACCAAGACGGCGTCCGCTACGACTTTCTGCCGTACGTTCGCCCGTACTTGGCGGCTCGGCGCCGCTGGCGCGGGCTTGTGGCACAGCACGGCCGCCGCGCGCACGCAGCGATGGCGTCGGAGTGCACGTGCGAGCACACACCGAGCAGCCTCTGCCTCTCGACGCTCAGCGGCCCTGCCGTGTGCGTGGCACACGAAATCGCGTACCACGTGCATCTTGCGATCCGAGAAAACAACGTTCCGGCGCTGACCGGCTGGCTGCGCTACGCGCCAGACGCAGCGACGCCGCTCGCCATCACGTGCGCAGCGCGCTACGGTGCCATCGACTGCCTTCAGCGGCTCGTGGCGTCAGTGCCAAGCGATGCGCTGCCGATGCGAGCGCTCGAGTACGCCGTCGAGCTCGGGCACGACGCGATCTTTGCCGCCTTGTACCCTCGGTTCACACCGGCGCGTCTGGTCCACGACGGCGACACGAACCTCCTGGACTTGGCTGCCAGCGTCGGCCATCTCCGCATCGTTCAAGCGCTCCACACGGCGGCATACCCTTGCGGCGCCACCGTCCTGGCCATGGATGCGGCGAGTTCGAACGGCCATGAAGAGGTCGTCCGCTACTTGCATCAGCACCGTAGCGAAGGCGCGTCGGTGGCTGCGCTCGACGGTGCCGCCGCCGCTGGGCACTTGGCCATTGTCGCCTTTCTACACGCAACGCAGCAGGAGGCGACAGCCCGTGCGCTCGAAATGGCAGCAGCCAACGGCCACCTCGCCGTCGTCGAGTACCTCTGCACGCATCGGCGCGAGGGGTGCCGGGCGTATGCGATCGACGACGCAGCCAAGAACGGCCATTTAAAGGTCGTCCAATACCTCCACGCACGCGGCTTTGCCGCTACATTTCGCGCCATGAACAACGCGGCGCTCAACGGGCACTTGGCCATTTTGACGTTTCTGCATGACGCGCGCAATGAAGGCTGCACGGTTTTCGCGATGGACTGGGCGGCGTCCAAAGGCTACTTGGACGTTGTGCGCTTCTTGGATACGTACCGCGACGAAGGGTGCACGACGCGCGCAATGAACGGCGCCGCCAAGGCCGGCCATTTGGCCGTGGTCGCGCACCTGCATCACCACCGAACCGAGGGCTGTACAACCGACGCGATCGACTGCGCCGCGGCCAACGGACACGCCGATGTGGTCGAGTTTCTGGTGACGCACCGCAGCGAAGGGTTCACGCCCCGCGCACTGTACGCGGCCGCCGAGAAAGCGGACGTTGGCCTATTTGAGCGCCTCCGCAGTGCGTACCCCGGGCTCCGCCGGGGCGCGCGCGCGGCCTTTTGCCAGGCCGAGGCTGCCCTCGTCGCCTAATCTACTAAACACGCGCTGCAAGAGCGTAGTCCATTGTGCATGCTACTTGAATCGAATGCGTTAGTCGCTCGATTTCAAGTCTAGTCGAAGGAACGCATGTGCTCGAGTAGTTGCGCGAGCCAGAGATAAGCACGTTGACACAGGTGGACGCACGTGTGCTGTGACGACCGACGATAGCAGTCACGAGGCGCGTCACCGTCGCCGCACGATTACTCCGCCGCGACACCACCACGGGCGACTAGCCCTAACTACCGAGCTACTACGTAGTCGTTTGCAAGACAAGGACGGTGAGTGCAGAAGTCTTCTTCTTATACGCTTCGTAAACTACTATCCAACGACGACTAGACAAAGGAGCAACTAATAACGACTACAAGTGAAATTCGCCGCGGGGCATGAGCTTCTCGGTCTTGTCGACGTCGTCGTCTTCGGCGAGCGAAAAGTTGCCCCGGGGCACGAGATTTTCCGTCTTGTCTTGGTCGATGGTGGCGAGCGCACGGCCGGTCGTGTCGTCGCCGCGCGGGCTGAGCATCGGGATGCTCCCCGGAATGCAGCGCTGCGGGCCATAGTTGCCCCGGGGCACCAGATTCTCGACGGCGTCCGGGTGTGATGGGCGGCGCATGACGCAGTTGTAGCCTAGCGAGAGGCCGAAGAGGGTCGCGAGGCCAAAGGACGCGGCGACACTCCAGTCGAGGCCCGCGCACGCGACGTGGTAGGACGCCATGGTCACGTCACACAAAGCGACCTTGCGCTGCGCCATGTAGCCGACGACGACGCAGCACAGCACGAGGATGCCATCGATGAAGCGCTCGAGCACGATGTCGACGCTTGGCTGGCGGAGCAGGCCGACGCCAACGAGGTAGAGCAACCCGATCTGCACCGACGTGTAGCCAACGACGACGCTCACAAACTGGTACGTCTGCGCGTACCGGTACCGGTCGCCGTCGACGAGCGTAAAGGTGCCGTAGGTGAGCATGGTGCTGACGACGAGAGCGACGCCGCCGAGGGCGTGGAGCCCGCGGAGGATCAGGAGCGCTGTGCGCCGGGGCATGCTGCGACGAATGCCACCGCAAGCGCTGCCCGCGACCGGCACGGCCACCTGGACCTGGAGAACGCGCGGCGAGCCAATGGCGATCGTCAGGCAGCCCAGCTGACACGGATTTATCACTACCGTCTCATTTTCTCTGGCACCGAGTCACCAAGTGCTTGCATTTGACCTTTTGTGGTGCAATAGAGACAGTGCTGGGAAGGCGACCTCGTCCACAAGCGGTGACGGGGCGGGTTGGTCACGCAGCGTGTCAAGATCGCTGGTCGAGCCGGCCCGTCGAACGTGCTGGTCGAGCGTGCTATTCATAAGAGCACAAGCAACAGCGCAAGGCGCCACTCGATTAATGATAGGACAAGGTACAAACTACACAATCGAGCCGAATTTACCCCGGGGCACGAGTTCGTCCGTGTTGTCTTGGTCGCCGCCGTGCTTGAAGTGGCCACGGACAGGCGGCTGCACCGAGCCAAACTGTCCGCGGGGCATGATCGTGAGCGTATCGTCGGCTTTTGGGCTCCGTGGCGCGGGCGACGACGCGCGGCCATAGTTGCCCCGGGGCACGAGGTTCTCGACGGCGTCCGGGTGCGGGATCTCGGTCGTCAGGAGGCTATAGACCATCGCAAAGGCAAAGAGGACGGCGGCGACAAACGTCAGCGCCATCGTTGCGTTGTATGTATCGCAGTGGAACTGCGTCGGGTCATTGGCGCCGCAGCCGCCAAGGCCAGCCATGAAGATGCCGCAGAGCGCAAAGGCGATCGCGAGGAGGCCGTCGACGATGCGCTCAACGAGCACGTCGGGCTGCAGCCGGTCGAGCGCGAGCACAAAGAGGCTGTAGGACGCGGCGAAGAGGAAGCCGGCCGTGCCGACGACAAGCGTCATCATCATGGGCACCGTAATGAAGCGGTAGCTCTTGCTGTTGTCGCGGAACGTGAACGAGTCAAAGGCCATAAAGACCGCAACGAGCGTCGCGAGCGACGTGAGCGCCTGGAGGAGCCGCGCGCCCGTGCTGAGCAGCGCCGACGCAGTCATTTCCGCTTGGTGGGATTTGCCAAATGATAAACGCAAAATTGCACCGGCTAGCCAAACCAGCTGGGCCTTCGTCGTTGGCGAAATATACTTGGGTTTTGTATGCTATGTCGTACCGGGTTGTATCGCCAGCACAATACACGGAGAAGGGCAAAGCTGGATGTCCGACGCGGAGAATCCCCACTCGTTATACAAGTGTACTAGCTCTATCGTGCTGCTCTATGGCGACAACAGCGTCGTGCCGATGGCCGCATGGAGGCTACGATGTCCTGGGATGAGCCCAAAATTTTACTTCTACAATCGTGAGCTGTGTCGGGTTGTAGCACTCGGTGGTCGAGCGGCGACCATGTGGCCCACAACGCACTGGCCGAGGTCCGTCCTTGCGTCGCCCAACAACTCATCGCGTTGTACATTCTACTGGTACTGGGGTGGTAGAGAATGAATTGGGGTTGTCAGTCGCGACCTCGACGCTGTACTTTGTACAGATTCGTCGTTGGGACGCTCGCCGACGGCGGTTGAAGCGAGTGGACGCAGCGATAAAAATGGACCAGCAAGCTAACCCCGCGGTGGTTGGAGAGGCGGTGAGAGACGTCCAGGGGCAGCTGGCTTCGATGTGCGTCGGCAATATCTCGACATCGTCGTGAAGGTGCCAGCTTGTTGCCCCGCACGGTGCGGCGTCTCAAAAAGTAGGCGAGTCGAACGTTATTATAGTCTGAAGAAGACAAAATGGGTTGTCATCAGCGCGAGGCACGCGCCTGGTGAAGGAGACTCGATACCACAAAGTCTCGGAATTCTGGGGTTTGAAAATCTGCACGTCCGAACGGGTTAAGTAGACTAGTGCAATGAGAATCTTTGGCGCGTTAATTCTGCAATCGTAAGCATTTTATACAATCGCCAAATATATTCGCTGGCAGCCTCTGGTGTTCGCCCATGGGTGCGAAATAAGTCAAGAAGTGGTGTTCTTGTCGACTTCTTTTAGTCTAGCGGTTTAGACACTGGTTTACCACCAGGTAGATCCGGGTTCAAGTCCCGGAGAGAGCACCACTTTCTGATTAAATACAACGAGCGAGGGAAACGTGACGCCCCAGAGTATTGGCACGACGTTGTGGAGCGCGCAGAGATTGCCACGTCACAACAACGCGGACCAAAGGCCAATAAGAGCTTTGTTGGACCATTGGAGCCATCCTACCGGGACTTTGAGCAGCGGTTGGCACAGTATCTCTCCGACACTGACGATCTTTGCAGTGACTATCCACCTCGAGCACTCGCCCCATTGGCTACTTCGCTTTGTGGTCCTGCAGACGGTCTTTCATTGTCATGCATCGCCGTCGCTCGCCATCGAGACGTCCCTCGAATAGACTCGTGGCGTCGCGCGCGAGTGCCCTGCAAAGCTACAGCAGACGCTAAGACTGTTGCCTCAGTCGGCCACGCGAGGGCTTTGCCAGCACTGGGCGGCGGACCTTGAGCGCAGCAGTGTCAAAAATGCATTCGAGCGATCGGGCAAGATGTCCAGCGCGTCTTTGCCCCTATTTGTTTTGGATGTTGGGACATCAATTCGACCACCCAACCAACATCCATAGTAGATCTCCGCACAATCGGAGGCGGTCGACCCGAGTGTCGTCGCCCAAGCACTGGGCCTCGCATGCACTGTCGTCAATGATGATGACTGCAGTCCTATTGGCGATACGACTATCGCAGCAGTATTTACTGAGGTACTGGTTGCGCCCCCGAGCAAGGTGACTGCCACATGTTCCGGGCATGACTTCGAGAGTCGTTGGTGCGGTAAAGACTCGGCGGCATAAATAGCTCTCACATCGGTTTCCTCCGTCTTCACATCACAACATGGAGCTTGTACCTGCGTCCCGCTTGACGTCGTCGCAGGCAGCACAGCTCCTCGAGCTCGTCACGATCTCGATGCAAAACGAGCCGCCCATGGTGGCGATCGACCCGGACAGCGCCGACCACCGCTACGTCATCACAAAGTGGCTCACCGAGAAGCGCTTGTCCGGGAACGTCGCCGCCTCGTACGTCTACCTCGATGACACCGGCCGCGTCATCGCGCACGGCATTCTGTCGCCGCCCGGCGTCGGCGCGCCGGCCCCCACAACGCTGTGGCAACGGCTCGTGAGCGGCTTCATTTTCGCACCCTACTACATTGGCTGGACGGCGTATCGCCGGCTGCAGTTGCTCATGGGCGACTTTCACGGCGCCGGCCCCGACGCCTACATGCTGCAGGCGCTCGCGGTGGACCCGACGCTGCGGGGACAAGGGATTGGGACGCGCTTTGTGCAAAGTCTACTGCACGACGCACTTCCTGCAGGCGCGACCGTCCAGCTCTTCACCCAAGTCGAGCGCAACGTCTCGTTCTATGAAAAACTCGGTTTCCGCACCATAGCGACGGCGACGACGACTGTCGAAGAGTACTCGTTCCCGAATTTCGTCATGACCGCGACGCTCTAACTTTA